TTGTCATCGGCATTTTGCCGAGAACCTTTCCGAGGTTGCCTATCGCTGTGCGGAAGACCTCGGGAGCCTGGAGAACTTTGTGTATTGACTCCTTCATGTTGGGGATTACCGCGCTTAGTCGGAGCGGCTCCTAGCCATTGAGCAGACTAATACGTCGCTTCGTGCGACGGTGGAGCCCCTTGCGCCGTTGGAAAAGAAAGTGTTGCACTCCGTGCTCAGAACTAGCTGCTGGTTCAACTTCAGGGTGGTTGAGCGCCTTTGGGCCCCGGTGCCAACGCCCCCGCGTTCCGTTGCGCCAGATCCCAGTACTGCTTAAGCAAGCCCACATAAAACACCGGGTTGGTGCGCATCCTTTTCGGAAGGTGCGGCGTATACACAAGGCCTCGCATGGCCACGAGCTTAGAAGGTCCTATAAACCGTGAACGGAACTTTGGCTAAAAAACAGCAGAAAGTGCATGTGTTGGAAGGTTTTTAGCATTTAATAAAATCAGGTCTCCGACATCATGTTTTTCACATTTCTTCTGCTTCTTCAATCTACATATTATTTTCACGCATCTCTTGGCTATTCAGCCATCGCATCGCAAACGTGTCGTTGAACACTTAGATCGTAAGACATGAAGTCATCGACTTTTCGGACACTAACGTCAGCTACTTCGCCGTTTGGCTATTCCTCCCCCACCAAGCACTGAGCCATGGGATAGCGGCGCCGGCGGGACGCGATGATTTACATACCCGTTCACGTAGAAGGGCTTGTAAACGGTAGATGAATGCACTGCACTGTTCAGAACGAACTCTACGAGTGGCAGCATGATGATCCAGCGCTTCGGCGTCTCAGTGCAGACTCTGCGAAAATGTCTTCAACGTTTTTCGACCGTCTGCGATGATCAGACTGAGCGCGTGAATTGCGTCGCTATTGACATAGTCAACTTGGTGTCCAGCACCCTGAAGAGTGTAGACCAATATTTTCCAGTGAAGCGTGGGTATCCAATAGAGACAATTGACTTCGGGAGTCAATGTTGTCGAAAGACACGATCGTCAAACAGCGTCGCTGTAACCACACCGTCGGTGTTCCGCACCACCGCAAGATGAGCCATCTTGCTCAAACGGTCCACAAAGACCACCACACCTGTGTTGCCTGCAGATTCCTG